AACATCTATCTGAAGGAACACCTGTGCAGCCCCCGAGAGAGCCGGCCGGCGGTGTGCCACTCCCCCGCGGAAGTGGGGAAAGTGGCCAGGGGGAACCGCCCTTCCACGGAGGTGGAAGGGACGGTAGCCAACCCGGGAAGAACCAGCAGCAAACCCGGGAAGGGCCGAGCAGACGAAAGAACAGCGCAGGGTCCTGTGTCGTTCCTCCATGAAGAGGGGGAGCGACACCCACCCCCAAGTTTTTTGAAGCCTAAGGAGCTTCCATTTTTATCTCAAGTTATTGGTTAGAAGTAAGCAAGGGATTGAAAGCATCAGGTCTGGGTTTTGGCAAAATCGCTTTGGCTGGAGCGTGCAGAATGGATGGGAGTGAGACCTATTAAGACAGGGGTGGGACGCTGGGGCCAGTGGGCCTGCTTTGATACCACTCATGAGCTAAGTATGGATTTTTGCATTTTTAAATGACTGAAAGGCAAAAGAGGAAGACTATTTCATGACACATAGAAGTCATCTGAAATTAAAATCTCCGTGAAGCTGGAATGCAAGTGTGTTGGAACACAGTCGCGTTCACTTGCTTTTGCACCTTGTCTGCAGCTGCTTTCTCTGCAGAGCAGGGGCGAGTGGCTGAGGCAGAGGCTGCGTGATGCTCAGGTTCCTGCGTGATGGCCTCCAGCCGCTCTCTCACGTGCTTGCTGTCTAGTCCTATGCAGAGAAGTCTGCTGTCCCCTGAACTCAGGGAGCATTTTAGCATTTCAGGAGAGACGCCTGCCCCTCGTAGAGTGCGAGAGTGGCAGTGCGGGTGGAGAACATGTGATGAGTCTGGGGACTACTAGGGAGGAAGACTGGATATGGGGAGTCAAAAAGAGACTTCTGGGTTGGCTCCCAGGTCTCCAGTTTGAGCAACTGTGTGAGTGGTGGTCCCAGCCAGGCCAGGAAGACCAAGAGAGACAGTGGACCCGAGGGCCTGGGGCTGGCAGGGAGGAGTGAGAGCTGTTTCCAGGGCTGTTTGGAACGGTCTGATTCCTGGAGTTAGGCAACTTCAGCAGATGCGAAAACAGAGATTTCCCAAGAAATGAGCCTCATGTTTTGGTGTGGGAGCACCTGGGCAGTCAAAGGGCTTTGTGCTCTACAGGAGAGCAGGTGTTTGTCTGAAGTGAGTGCTGTGAAACATGAGACAGACTGAGGGTTCCAAAGGCCTGGGGAGGCCCTGGGAGAGGGTGGAGAGGCTTATCCATCTCCCAGCTGGTGAGGTTGGCCAGAGAGGTAGGACCTGTCACTGCAAGTTTATAGAAGCAGCCATGTGAGCTGATAGCTGCAGGGTCTTGGATTCCTGCTGAGGTTTGGGGACAGGAGCTGGGGTGGCCATAACCACCCACCCCATCATTTGCCCTGGGGTCCTGTTGTCTGGGAAGCCGACCCAGGCAGGTTTCTTGGCAGAGTGAGTCCCTTGGTTGCCAGCAGATGGCAGTAGAGTGACGCAGTGAGAAGGGAGATGGGGGCGGGAGTCCTGAGGGGGTGCAGAGGAGTGAGGATCCCAACGCCTTCCTCTTCCCTGTCTGCGGGAGTGGTCCCACAGAGGTGACACGCACAAAGGCACCTCGTCCCTTCCCTACTTCCTGTTCTGGCACCAAACAGGCCTTGTTTCTGCAGGGGGGCTGCACTGTTTGGGGTGGCCATGTGTAGCCGTTCTCTCCTCGTGGGGCCACGTCTGGCAGCTGGGTCTGCAGGGCTCTTGCTCCAGAGGCCTGCATAGCACAGACCTGGGGAAGTCCTCCCCACCCCAGGCTTACCCCCTGCCCTCCCCGTCCCTGCTCCTTTAAGCAAGCCACGAGGGTGGGGTGGGAGGTGGGACTCTGGGTTCTCCATAGCTCAGGCTGCCGGTGGAAGGAAAGAGCTGGGTCTGAAACTGGACCTGGTTCCTGGTCTTGTCCGTGGTCAAGCTGATCACACAGCCACCGAGGCCCTTTCTCTGCAGTCTGTCTCATCTTCCTAACTCTTCTACCAGGGCCTGTCAGAGACGAGGACATTGGGAATACCAGAATAAATCTTAAAAAAAGGGGGGGGCCCAGCACTGTGGCACAGCTGGTTATCGCCCTGGCCTAAAGTGCTGGCATCCCATATGGACGCCGGTTTGAGTCCAGGCTGCTCCTCTTCTGATACAGCTCTCTGCTGTGGCCTGGGATAGCAGTAGAAGATGGCCAAGTCCTTGGGCCCCTGTGCCTGTGTGGGAAACATGGAGGAAGCTCCTGGCTCCTGGCTTCGGATCAGCGCAGCTCTGGCCATTGCGGCCATCTGGGGAGTGAACCAGTGGATGGAGGACCTCTCTCTGGCTCTACCTCTCTCTGTAACTCTGTCTTTCAAATAAATAAAATAAATCTTTAAAAAAAAAAAAAAAAGAGAGAGAGAATACCAGACGTGGCTAAGGTTGTTGGGAGAGGGACATGGCAGGTGGGATCCGCTTACGGGACAAAGGACAGGTGTGAGCATCCAGCCCCATTCCTGATCCAAATACCTGCTTTGACCCCCACTCTGGGTCTTCAGGGGAGACCAGGGATAGTGACTCCAAAACGCTTGGGTCTCCCAACACCACCCAGTTCCTTCAGTCTGTCTGTCCCCCAGGCCTTCAACACAGGGCAGGGCATTTAGTCCTAAAGGGGGTTCAGGGCCATGAGGGAACTTTGGCAAGGGAGAGGTCCTTTTAGGGTCTTGAGCTGGTAGCTCAAGAAGCTGTGCTGGTGGGAGAGGGTATTGGGTTTGTGTCCCAGCATCTTTACACTGGTGCTGTACTTCCTCCTGGCCCCTGACCGGCCTTCCCTGTCCGCTTCTCGATCGAGTGTCTTTGCCCATGGGTTTCTGGGAGTCCCGATGGCTGTGTGTGGGGTGAATTTCCACTCCCCACCCAGGACCTCATCCCTCTAGACCAGCATTTCTCAAACTTCAGCTCGCATCAGAATCACCAGAAGTGCTTATTAAGGCAGACGGCTCGGGGCAGGGGGCTGGTGTTGTGGCACAGTGGGTTAAACCACCACTCAGGCTTTGAGTCCCGGCCGCTCCACTCCCAAGCCAGCTTCCTGCTAATGCACCTGGGAAAGCAGTGAGAGATGGCCCAAGTGCTTGGGCCCCTGTCACTTGCATGAGAGACCTAGCTGGAGTTCCAGGCCATCTGGGGAGTAAACAAATGGATGGAAGATCCCTGATTCTGTCTGTCTGTCTGTCTCTCTAACTCTGCCTTTCAAATAAGTAAATAGATCTTTTAAAAAAATGGCAAGGTTCTATCCTGAGAGTCCCTGAGGGAACCTAGGGTGACCCTGAGAATGCGCACATGTTCCCAGATGATACCCACACGACTGTGAACCAGAAGATGAGCTGAGCAGTCCTGAGTTGCCTAAACCCTGCACGTTTGGAAGGAAGGCTTAGCCTTGCCTGGCTCCTGGGAGATAGCACCAAGCCCTCCAAGTGTCCCGGCAGGTAAGGGTGTCTTTGCTTACCTGTGGGCCTTGGGAGACACCATGTGATCATGGTGGAGGCCCAGGGACACACTGTCAGCGTCATCTCTGGTGGGCAGCACTTCTTGTGTGTTGCCACGTCACTGCTAGGAGAATGCAGTGCTGTCTGAATGACTCCGGGTGCCTGGAAGTTCGCATCTCTCTTGGACCCTGGCTCCATGCAGCTATTCCTGCTGCTGTTTGATTCTGTATTCTTTCACTTACTAAACTGCCTTGTCAAGTTCTGTGCATCTTAACAAATCAACGAACCTAAAGGTGTTCTTGGAACCCCCATCGACAGCCATGCTCTGAGAAGCACTGCTCCGGGCTGTGAGATGAACCCAATCTCTCAGTTTCCTTTGGGATGGGTTTTGGTGCCTTGTGACATGGCCTGAGGCTCACCCCGATGGGGCACTTTGGCCCAGACTAGCCCAGGACCCTCACTTCCATAGTCCAGGGGTCAGCAGGCTGCGCAGTGCCTGGAAGCCTGGATGCTGAATTGTGGGATAAACCTGCAGCGTCTTTCTCTGTCTTTGGGCCTTAGTCTTCTCATCTGCAGATGGGGATTTGGAGCGCCTCTGTTCTCCCTGGTGTGCTACAGGGCTCCGGAGCACCACAGCAAACAGCGACCATGCAGGGTTGTGGGCAGACACCAGGTCACTCACCTGAGCCACGGCCCCAGGGTGCTGGGGCTCCCACAGGCCCTGGCAGGTCCGACTCCTTGGCTCTGCCCCTTCTGTGTCCACCTTCAGGACAGCGGCCCACATCCCGCCTTCCTTGCCTCCCCTTCCCCCATCCTGCTCTGGCCTGAGACCAGGGCCTGGAGCCAACACAGGGAGGAAGGCCCCGTGGTGCCCGCTGGTTATGTGGCTTTATTCACAGACTCAGCACTTGCTGAAGATGGAAAAGAAGAACATTTGGGGCCAGGCTGGGCCTGGAGATGACAGGGGCTGGGAGGCCATGCGTGGGTGGGAGTGGGGAGTTCACAGGAGAGAACCTGCGGGCTGGGCCGGGCCTGTGTGGGGCAGGACCAGAGGCAGGCAGCATGCGGGAGGCCTGGTCAGGTCTGCATGGAGCAGGTCCACCCAGGTGGTGGCTGTGAGCCAGGAGGGAGGGACCGAGGTTACTCTGGGGCAGGGGCCGTGGGGCTGGGGCCGGTAGCAGGCACCCTTGACCCCCACTCCCAGGGAAGTGACGTCATCGTGGGGCAGTGCTGCCGCCTTGGAACTTGGTGTGCGACTTGCCAAGCTGGTCCCCTCTGGTGTCACTACCCTGCTGATGCTGGGACATTTGTCTTGGGGGTGACTCACCTAGGGAAGCTCTGGGGACATTTGTAGGGAGGATGGACAATCCTACAGGGTTTGTGTAGGGCCCAGCAAGGCGGATTCTGCCTGTGGAGGGGATGGGATCCCCAGCTCCCTCTGAGCCAAGCCTTCCTTTCCTTAGTGATGGGTGTCAGTTCCCAGAGGTGGCCCCCAGAGGGCGCCATCTCCCAGCTCAATCCCGGCCGCCCAGGCCCACGGTTAATGCTAACCGGCTAGCTCCTGGCCCGCCCTGCTGGCTCCCGACTTCCTGCCCAAAGGCAAACAAGGAGCCCAAAGCCCGGATCCTCCTCCCGGGCCTTCTTCCTGGTGAAGAACCCATTCCCACCCAGCAGGGAACAGAAAAACCAGTTCCCCAAGTTTCACACCCTGCCCGGGAATAGAAAGTTTGGAAAGTTGGCAAGGTGTGTCCGGGCTGTCCAGGAAGGTGACTCGGGTGCCTGGGAAGCCTGGTGCGGCCTGAGCTGGGCTTCGGGGCTGAGGACGCGCAGCCCCTGCCCGCTTTCCACCGGCCTCTCCCGGGGGCTGGGGTGCAGGGGTGCAGGCGAGGGGGCCATCAGCACTGGCGGGAGGGGGTGCGGTGCACGGAGCCAGGGCGCTTGGGGATCTTGCGCCAGCGTCGCTTGTCCCAGCGGCAGAGCAGCAGCAGGCGGAAGGTGTCCCTGAAGGCCTTGTTGCAGAGTGCGTAGCACATGGGGTTGATGGTGCTGTTGACGTAGCACAGCCAGTAGCCCAGCTCCCACAGGGTCTCGGGGACACAGTCCTTGCAGAAGGTGGACACCAGCACCATGATGTTGTACGGTGTCCAGGTGAGGATGAAGGCCAGCAGGATGGCACTCAGGGTCCGAGCCGCCTTCTTCTCCTTGACCAGCGAGAAGGTCTTCCGCTTGGCCAGCTGCTCCTTCCCGCGGGGCTTCTGGCTCTTGCCAGCCCGATCGCGGCCCTTCCGGGTCGGCCTCTTGACTGTGTTTGGGGAGCTCCTCGGGGGCTGCTTGGCGGGGGCCTGCGCCTCGGGGTCCACCATGGGCATCTTGATCACCACTTCGGAGCCAGGCTCCTCGCCTTCCGAGGACGTGAGGGACTCCATGGAGCCTTCGTCCTCTTCCTCCTCCTCCTTCCAGCTGTAGGCCTGCAGCAGCCTGGGGGCCCTGCAGCAGCGACAGCAGCCGCCTGCAGGAGTCTCTGGTGAGCCCTCGGCCCCGGGCTGCGACCTCTCCGAACTGCTGCTGCTGCCGCCCCCTTTGCCCGGTGTCTCGGAGCCCTGCAGGGCTGCCAGCTCCCGTGCCCGGTTCTCCGTCTCCCGGTAGATGCGCCAGTAGAGCGTGCACATGACAGTGACAGGGAGGTAGAAGGCAGCCATGGCTGTGCCGAAGGTGATGATGGGCTGGGAGAGGAACTGGATGTAGCACTGCCCAGCCAGCACCGTCCGCTCCCCTACCAGATATTGCCAGAAGAGGATGGCGGGAGCCCAGAGGATGAAGGAGACCAGCCAGGCCAGGCCGATCATCAAGGCCGCCCGGCGGGGTGTGCGCTTGGCACGGTAGCTCAGCGGCCGGGTCACGGAGAAGTAGCGGTCAAAACTGATGAGCAGCAGATTCATCACGGAGGCATTGCTGGCCACGTAGTCCAGGGCCAGCCAGAGGTCGCAGGCCAGCGTGCCCAGGGCCCAGTGGCCCATGAGCAGGTACGTGGTGTAGAGGTTCATGGAGAAGGTGCCAATGATGAGGTCAGCGCAGGCCAGGCTCAGCAGGAAGTAGTTATTGACTGTCTTGAGCTCTGTGTTGACCTTGAAGGAAATGAGTACCAGCAGGTTGCCCGTCACCGTGGCCAGGGACAGGAGGCCCGTGGTGATCCCGATGAAGGCCACCTGCCAGGGACCCTTTCCTGGTGCCAAGACGGTGATGTTGGGGCTGACGGCAGGTGGGGCCGAGGTGTTCATGCTGGCTGGGTGCGGTGTAGGGGGCGGCCCCCTTCCTCCAGTCACACGACAGGGCTTCCTCAGAGGGGTACCATCACCTGAAAAGAAAGGACTTGGCTTTGGTTGGGCCACGGGGCAGCTCGGTAGCCCCCCGAGCAGCAGCTGCTGCTGATGCAGCCCCTGACGTCTCAGAGCTCTGGGCCAGATGACGTCACCGTCCCTTGCTTGCTGCCCGCACACAGCCACTTAGAATGCACGCTGCCCCAGCCGGGGGTGGGCGGGCCAGCATGGAGCGGCTTTTGGGAGCCAGGGATCTGAGCCCTCAGCCCAGCCTCGCTGTTGAGATTCTGTAAATGCCTACCCAGTTCCTGCCTTTCTCGGCTCACCGGGGAGGAGCCGGGAGACTCGGTTTTTGTCGAGGGTCCTGCCAAATTTTCAAAGGGTTTCACTCAACCGTATTCAAGCCAGCCACAGTGCTAAGCTCTTGAGTCAATTTTCTAATTGATCCGGCGCACATGTCTAGGATGAAGGTCTCTTATTATTCCACTTCGCCCTGGCAGGCGACTTTGGCTGGAAGCAGCGGCAAGGCTTGGCCACCGAGACACTGGCGGGGAGCAGCACTGGCCCCTGCATGCGGAGCTCTGAGCTTTTCTCCACCAAACAGGGAGAGATGGGAAGGAAGACGACTCTGGAGCAGAGGAGGGGAAATCATGGGAGCAGAGTGGCACGGCGTGTGCACGTGTGTGTGTGTGTGTCAGGGCTGGGGGAGTGTCTGGGGTTGGACTGGACCCTCAATGAGGGCAGCAGGGAGACGCTCACTTGATGGTAAGGGGTTCTGGAACAAAAGCAAGCAGCAGGGAAGAGAGCCTCGGCTCCAGCTATGTGGGGTTCTGGCCCAGATGGGGCGTGGGAAGCTCCCCTCTCTCTCCCCACGCTGTTCCTGGGCCCAGCTGAGTCTGTGTGTGTGTGTGTAGGGGGGCAGCAAGGGGATGAGAAGATTCCCCCAGACTTGCGTGGGACCTGGAGTCTCGCCCAGGCACTAAGGCTGGGTAAGGAGAAAGGCCAGGGCCCTTAGCCATCTCCTGGGAGCCCCCACAGCCAGGGGAAGCCAGGTTGAAGGTGGAGGGTCCAGGCCTGCTCAGCCAGGTCTGTGCCTTGCTGCTAGGTGATTGGGAGGATTTCTTCCTGTTCTGGGCTTCAGGCAGCCATCTGTCCACTGAAGAGGTTGGGGGAAGGGGTCCTCTCCAAACTACAGCTTGTGGCTTTCAGGGACTGTATTGTTGCAAGCCCTGGTGTTCCTTGGGGACCTGATCTGTGACAGAGACTCGAGTGCCATGCCTGTGGGGGATGGCGGCCTTGGTGGGACGGGGCCCAGCATGTGCGGTCGAGGGCATCTCCATGGAGAGCTGCCAGTGTCGGAGAGTGGCTGTCGGCTCAGTGAGGGGGGCTGCCCAGCGCTCCTGTAACTGGACTGGTTTGCATGTGAGGGGCAGACAAGACATCACCATTAAGAACCTGGGCTCGGGGCTGGTACTGTGGCATAGCAGGTAAAGCCGCCGCCTGCAGTGCTGGCATCCCGTACGGGTGCTGGTTCAAATCCAGGCTGTTCCATTTCTGATCTAGCTCTCTGCTGTGGCCTGGGAAAGCTGTAGAAGATGGCCCAAGTTCTTGGGTCCCTGCACCCATGTGGGAAGACCCTGAGTAAGCTTCTGGCTCCTGGATTCGATCGGCACAGCTCCGGCCGTTGTGGTCAGCTGGGGAGTGAACCAGCGGATGGAAGATCTCTCTCTCTCTCTCCTCTCTCTCTGCCTCTCCTTTTTTCTCTGTGTAACTCTGACTTTCAAATAAATAAATAAATAAATCTTGAAAAAAAAAAAAAAAAAAAAAAGAGAATCCGGCACTGGAGCCACACAGTCTGGACTGGAGCCGAGCTTCACCACTTATTTACTGGGTGTGTGATTGTCACAGGCAATAGAACTTCTAGATGCTTCAGTTTCCTCTACTGGAAAATGGGGGTAACACCCATTCGCTAATTAGCTACTGCCTCAATGAACTGTTGCACGAGTCAATGAATGTAACAGCCCCTGGTACATGGTGGGCTCTAGGACCCTGTTAACTCTCAGGATTTGTGGCACAGGGGGCTCCTTCCTGCCGGGCAGGTGCTACTTCTTCCATTAAAAGTCCAATCAGACAACAATAGCAACTAATACCACCACCACCACCACCACCACCACCACCACCACCACCACCATCACCAACAACAAGAACAGCAACAGTGCTCACTGATGTTCTTTAGTGGCTCCAAGCATCAGCCACTTATGGCGTCAACCTTAACTGGAGCCTAAGACCTAGGCATTGATTTCATCTCCACTTTATGGATGGGGAAGCTGAGGCTGAGAATTTGCTCAAGATCCTGCAAGTAGGAACTATAATGTGCACCCAGTCACTTTGTTCTAAGCTCCTGGCTCTAGCCTGGCCCAACCCTGGGGGCAGTGGGGAATGACCAGCAGGTAGGCACTCTCTTTCTCTCTGCCTCTCATATCATAAAAAGAAGGACAGAAAAAAGAAACTTCCGCTACTGAGAACCAACGGGTGGCCTGGGAGCCGTGGTTCGCCGGTTTGCATTTTTATAATAATGCATTAACATGGGATTTATTTTGATTACTGAGTTTTGTGGCATTCCCTTCTGTAACTGAAGTCCGGCAGAGGCTGGAGGCGGGGATCAGGCTGGGGTTTCCAGCTCTGCTACACCTGAGAGTTGCCTGGTAGGACTCTCGTCTCTTGGATTTTTTTTAACTCGGTGCTATTTAGTGCCTGTGGCAAGAAGGGAGCAACTGAGGCCCAGACAAAAGCAGGTAGGAGCATCATCTGGGCCATGGTTCCCTGGCTCCTAGACTGAGTGCTGACCCCCACACCGTTGGCCCCAGATAAAGAACTGGGAAGGCAGAGACCTGCGAAGGCTGAGTAAGATCAGAAGAGATGGGGGAAGGTGGCTGAGGGGCTGCACCCTTCCCAGCCGCAGGGACTTCTGCCAGGGCCAGATTTGGCTCCTTATCCTACAGTGGCCACATGTGTTGGCTGAAAAAGTCAAAGCATGCCCCAAAACCCAGTAATCAAGAAAGTAACATATTTTTGTAAAGATTTATTTATTTGAAAGGCAGAATGACAGACAGAGAGGGAGAGACAGAGAGACATCTTTCATCCACTGATTCACTCTCTAAAATGACCACAATGAGCAGAGCTGGGCCCAGTGGAAGCCAGGAGCTAGGGACTCCACCCTGGACTCCCATGTGGGTGCAGGGACCCAAGTCTTGGGCCATCCTCTGCTGCCTTCCTAGGAGCATTAGCAGAGAGTGGATTGGAAGCAGAGCAGCTGAGACTTGAACTCGGCTCTTCGTGCATGGGATGCTGGCATTGCAAGCAGTGGCTTAATCCCCTGTGCCACAATGCCAGACCCAGGAAAGTTATATTTTAATTCAATAGTTAAAAAAATGGAAATTAGTGCAGAATCATCCACGATGGAGAAAATGCCCTGTATTTGCACGCCCTCTCTCTAGCCTCACCCAAATCCTGGCCCTGGGTACAATGAATCTTTCTGTATGAAAACAGATGGGCTGCACTTTGTGATTTGATTTTTAAAAATATTACGTTAAGCCAGCGCCGTGGCTCACTTGGCTAATCCTCTGCCTGCAGCGCCGGCACCCCAGGTTCTAGTCCTGGTTGGGGTGCTGGATTCTGTCCTGGTTGCTTCTCTTCCAGGCCAGCTCTCTGCTGTGGCTCGGGAAGGCAGTGGAGGATGCCCAGGTCCTTGGGCCCTGCACCCGCATGGGAGACCAGGAGGAAGCACCTGGCTCCTGGCTTCGGATTGGCGCAGCGCACCAGCCGCAGCGGCCACTTAGGGGGTGAACCAACAGAAAAGGAAGACCTTTCTCTCTGTCTCTCTCTCTCTCACTGTCTAACTCTGCCTGTCAAAAAAATAAAATAAAATAAAAAAAATTATGTTATGACGTTAGGTATCTTGTTTGGTGAGGGCTTTGTTTTGGTGCATTCCTTTTTATTTTTTAAAGACTTCTTTATTATTTGAAGAGCAGATTTACTGAGAGAGAGGGAGAGAGAGACAGAGAAAGAGAGATAGAGATATATAGAGAGAATCTTCCATCTGCTGGTCCATTCAGATGGCTACAACAACCACGGTTGGGCAAGGCTGAAGCCAGGAGTCTCATCTCCCACGTGGGTGGCAGGGTCCTAAGTATTTGGGATATTTTCTGCTGCTTTCCCAGGTGCATTAGCAGGGAACAGGATTGGATGTGGAGCACCTGGGACTTGAACCCGAGCTCATACGGGATGCTGGTGGCGTTGCAGCAGTGGCTTAACCTGCTGTGCCACAATGTTGGCCCTTGGTGCTTCGCTCTTACATTTTGCTCCAAGGCGAGTAGCTCATCCTAGGCTCCTCCTAGGCGTAGCACTGTGGACCATAGCTTCAGGTCTGAAGCTCAACCCCGTCCCTAGCCAGCTGTGTGACCATCAGTAATCAGTTCACCTTTTACTCTTCCTGCTGCCCCCGTATCTCAGCCAATGGGAATAGCAGAGTTCAAAGTGCCCAGCCCCTAAGCAGACACTGAAGTGCAGGGCCTCTGCTATCATTCCCGGCTCCTTATTCTCATTCACAGCCCAGCCACTTCTCACTGTGCCCCTTCCCCTCCATACAGACCTCTGTCTCAGCCTGTCTCCCATTCCCAGCTTGCTAGTTTGTGCCGTGGCAGAGTTGTGCCAGCTTGGTGTCTGGGAGATCTCCTAGGGTTCTTTTTATTTATTTATTTATTTGACAGGTAGAGATACAGACAGTGAGAGAGAGAGAGAGAGAGAGAGAGACAGAGAGAAAGGTCTTCCTTCCATTGGTTCACTCCCCAAATGGCTGCTACGGGCTGGTGCTGTGCCGATCCAAAACCAGGAGCCAGGTGCTTCCTCCTGGTCTCCCATGTGGGTGCAGGGCCCAAGGACATGGGCCATCCTCCACTGCCTACCAGGCCAGAGCAGAGAGCTGGACTGGAAGAGGAGCAGCCGGGACTACAACCCAGCACCCATATGGGATGCCGGCGCTGCAGGCGCAGGATTAACCAAGTGAGCCACAGCGCCAGCCCTCATAGGGTTCTGAAACCAACATCTTAAGACGTGAGGCTGGTAGCTCATTTAATTCTGTTCCTGGGCTGGGATGACATCAGCTCAGGGTGGAACAGAGCTGCCTTTACCCAGTGCAGGCTCTTGGAGGCTCTTACCTGGGTGAATTTAAAAATGCTTTCAGATGGGGCTGGCGCTGTGGCATAGTGGGTAAAACTGCAGCCTGCAGCGCTGCCATCCCATATGGGCGCCGGTTCAAATCCCGGTTGCTCCACTTCCAATCCAGCTGAGGCCTGGGGAAGCAGTAGACGATGGCCCAGGTCCTTGGGCCCCTGTACACGTGTGGGAGACCCGGAAGAAGCTCCTGGCTCCTGGCTTCAGATCAGCTCTGCTCTAGCTGTTGCAGCCATTTGGGCAGTGAATTGAAGGATGGAAGACCTCTCTCTCTGTCTCTCCCTCTCTCTGTCTGTGATTTTGCCTCTCAAGTAAGTAAATAAACCTTAAAAAAAAAAAAAAGATCCTGGCTGGCGCCGCAACTCACTAGGCTAATCCTCTGCCTGCAGTGCCAGCACCCCAGGTTCTAGTCCCAGTCGGGGCGCCGGATTCTGTCCCAGTTGCTCTTCTTCCAGTCCAGCTCTCTGCTGTGGCCCAGGAAGGCAGTGGAGGATGGCCCAGGTCCTTGGGCCCTGCACCCGCATGGGAGACCAGGAGGAAGCACCTGGCTCCTGGCTTTGGATGGTGCAGTGCGCCATTTGAGGGGTGAAACAACAGAAGGAAGTCTTTCTTTCTGTCTGTCTCTCTCTCTCACTGTCTAACCCTGCCTGTCAAAAACAAAACAAAACAAAAAAACAAAAAAACTCCCTCATTTTTTTTGTCAGTTGGGGACAATCTTCTACCTGCTCAAGGCTGCTGGAGGATTAGCAAGATGGTGGGTGTGCAAGAATCTTGTGGCTGATGCCCCTAGGAAAGACCTGTCCTGGGTGAGCGTTTGGGTGCCAGAGTTTGGTGGTGGCATCAAAATTTCTGCTTAGGGACAGCCATCTGATTCAAAGAGGGGTCTGGGGCCGGTGCTGTGGTGCAGCGGGCAAAGCTGCTGCCTGCAGTGCTGGCATCCCATATGGATGCTGGTTCTAGTCCTGGCTGCTCCACTTCCCATCTAGCTCTCTGCTATGACCTGGGAAAGCAGTAGAAGATGGCCCAAGTCCTTGCACCCTCGTGGATCTCATGAGAGACCCGGAAGAAGCTCCTGGGTCCTGACTCCCGGCTTTGGATCAGTGCAGCTCTGGCCATTGCGGCCCATTGTGGAGTGAACCAGCGGATGGAAGATCTCTCTCTCTCTGCCTCTCCTTTCTCTGTGTAACTCTGATTTTCAAATCAATCAATCAATCAATCTTTTTAAAAAGGGGAGGGGTCTGAAGCTGCACCTGCAGAGCCTGTGAAAATGTGCATGGGGCAATGCAGCTGGTTGGTGGGGATTGCAGCGGGGTTGGGGGAGGGAGACTCCCCAGGGCAGTCCCCGGCACTGCCTTTCCCTGGCTTCGGGCTCTTGTCTTGCTGTGCAACCTTGGGCAACACCATCCTGACCTGGAAACCCTTCTGTGGGATGGGGGTGACTCCTGGGATGTGTGTTTGTGTGTGAGGATGCGTGCATTGCGGAATTAAGACTAGACATGGTGAGGTTGCATCCATGGCGTTGTGGGTGTATGTTAGAGCTCATCCTGGGAGGGTGTGAAGGAAACAGGTGTGATGCCCAGGCACAAGATCTCCCTATGAGGGCTCTTGGGAGTCTAACATTATCAATAATAACTGATACTTACTGCTGCTCTGAGCATTTCTAGCATTTCTATAGATTTACCTGTTACACCTCCTTGTGATGTAGATTTACCATCCGAGGTTTGCAAAAGGGGCAGCTGAGGCTTTGACGCCTTAAGGGCATCAAAGGTGCCCTGCAACCAGTATCGTGGTCTCAGACTCCAGTATCTTGGACCCTGACTGCAAGCTGCTGTGTAGGGGATGAGGAGGCTCATCAGCCCCCTTGCCCACCTCAACTCCCTTGGCCAGCTTGAATCAATCGACCATGAGGACTTGGTCCTCCCTCTAGAATCTGGCCTGTGTGTGTGACAGTGTCATGTCCTCTCTGTGTGACATAGGATGACAGTGCTGTGGGAAGAGGCAGACTAGCATGTGGCTATTTGAGAGGCAAGGTAATGCCAGTCTCATTCACAGCTTTTCCTCAGGGCTTGGCACATAGTAGCTGCTCAAGGAATATTTGTGGGACTCGTAGAGGAAGGTGTACTTAGGGACTTCTCTTTGACTTCAGGCCCCGGAACAAGAAGATGAGCTCTAGAGCAGGGGGCTGGGGGGCTCTTCTGCTCGCTTCACCTCATACATACCCTCACGAACCAGGCACCCCTCCCCCTGCTTGCGTGACACCTGCCTGGCTTGAGAGCACAGGAGAAAAACAGGCAAGAGCATTCTCATCTGTGAAATGGGCCCAGGAAACCCTGCCTCAGTGGCTGTGGGGAAGCCAAGTGGGGTGACAAGACAGGCATAACTTCCTCACTGCACCTGTCATTGAAGGGGGAGGAAAAAGTCAGCCTGGGTCCAAAGGGTTAAAAGATGAGGTCACAGCCTGTAGCACTCGGCAGACCAGACTGTTGACCACCAGCGGCCCTGGACCAATCCCCAGGGGCTGGGGATCTGGCTGGTGAGGGGAAGGGGGAGGAGTCAGAGCCACTGGGGGAGGCAGGAGGGGGGCAGCTGGGGAGAGGGATTCTTGAACACTCTTTCCTGAGCCTTGCCACTGCCCAGGGAGTGCAGACAGAAGGGGCGGCACAGAAGGCAGGGGATGCTGTGCTGGAGATTCAGGGGGGAGGAGTGGAGCCATCTTGTGATTCTGACACCTGAAGCCGCAGAAAACCCCACTGGGCAAAGGGGACAACAGTTGGGGGCAGGACCTGCACAGAGTGGGGCACCTGGGACCTCATATGCAATGAAGAGGGTGCTGCTTCCGGCCAGGTCTAACCTAGAAGCCAGCCTATGGTGCTTCCTCTGTGGGCTAACTTTTCTCAGAAGGCAGCTCTTTGACCCATGACAGGTGCACAGAATAGGTAATTCCTGGATGCTCACGGGCACCTGTGCCTGGGACCCATCCCAGGCCTTAGGAATCAGGGAGTAACTAAATGGAATCAATCACATTTTCAGGCTCCAGTCCCCGCTGGCAGCGCCAGCTAGCCCCGTGCAGGGCAGCAGCCATCAGTTAAATGCTACACAAACACATGGCTGAGCTGGAAGAGCAGCGGTAGCCCTAGAACCACTGCCAAATGTGCTCGTCCATGATAGAACTTAACCAGTTCCCTGATTTCAGCCAGACCATGCCAAAGCCTGGCCATCCATTAGCAATCTGGGCCGTAGACCTCATTCTGCTAGTGTGGCATCAGAGGCTCCGGGCCCCTCATCCTCCTCCCCACGTGCCCTGGCTCCTCGCTCCTTGCACTCCCCTCCCCCTTTCCTTTCTTCTCTCCTTCCCTCCCCCAGCCTTCTAGGCATCACCATGGCACCACAGTAGAACAGAAACCCAGCACGATTCACCCACCTCTCCCGCCCGCCCGCTCGCCTGCCGGGAGCCGGAGCTCCTGCTTCATGGAGCTTGCCGCGCCCGGGCTGTGCCACCCTGATCATCCCGCTCAAGGGGGAGGCAGCGCAGCGCTGTGCTCAGGGTGGGCAGAATAGGGGCCCAAGCTCCAACCCCTAATGTCCCCTCTGTGGCCTTGGGCATGTCCCTTCCTCTTTCTCAGCCTCAGTTGGTCTATCTGTAAAATGGGCAGGTTCCTTGCTAGGTCTGACATGACCTCTGCCCAGCCTTATTTATTTATTTATTTATTTATTTATTTATTTTACTTTGGATGCCCCTTTGCACTTCAGAATCTAGTTCCCAGGTCTCCAGTGGCCAGCTCGGCAGGGGAGAGAGAAACCACATCTCTGCAGCTCTGCTTCATCACTTCCTCCCCCTTCGTATCTCAGCAGCGATCACAGCTTGCCCAGCAGCTGAGGTCAGGGGGCAGAGAACTCTCATCTGACAGCTCAGTGAGCAGCTGATTACTGGGGACAGGAGATGTCCGCTGCCCGAGACTGCCTGACTCCTTCCGGCCACTTGGGCAAGGGGCCCTGGGTCAGTCTGGGCGGAGCTTCAGGCGTAGGCAGTGATGACCCCAATCCGCACATGTCCGAATGGCCTCATGGAAGCTGACTGCCCCCTCCCCAGCTGCCTGCCCAGGAGCTGGCAATCCTGCAAGAATCAGAGCTCCTGGCCCCTGGCCAATCCCAATTTTGTGGAGTCTGGGGGCACTGGGATGGGTCCCGGGCACAGGTGCCCATGAGCGTCCATGAGTTACCTGGACGTGGGACAGAGATCTGCCCTGCAGGATCCTGAGGTTCTAGGAATACAGGGAGGGCCCTTCGGGTCTCTGCACGCGTCAGGGCCACGTTCCCTGGCTGGTGAGGCCACCCATGTGCTTGCTCATTTGTCCCCAGAGAGCCCTGGGGCTCTTTGCCTGGTCTCCCGCTGGCTTCTGGCCCAACACCCACCTTGGCATCCAGCTTGTCCGTCTGGCCAGCAGCCTGGTTCAGTCCATCTCGTAGGAGCTGAAGGTGGATGGGGGTGGTGGGATTCAGGGTGCCCTGGGGGAGGAGAGGAGGAGATTCTAGGACCAGCACCTGAATTAAGTGGGGGCCAACCTCCCGCAGGATGGTGGTGATGAGGGCTGCCCCCGGGGGGCCCTGCCCTTTCCACTCTGCCCCTAGGGTGCTGGGGGTCTGCCCGCTGTGTGGCAGTCCCTGGGATCTGGGTCCATTTTCCTAAGTGTGTGTGGGGGTCTCCATCTCCTCTGCCAGCGGAAGCCCAGAAAAACATCGTATCCACTCCAAGCCAGGATGTTTGGAGCAGCCAATGCCATGCTCCAGGAGCCCCCTTGGCCTTCAGACCCCTCCCTGGACACCTCCTCTCTCTGGGGTCCATCCCCATTTCTGTCTCACCCTGCTCTACCCCGAGGACCCTGCCCCCACCTCAGCGGAGCCCCTCCCAACCCCTCCCAGAGGTACTCACCATGGGGCCGGAGAGGGGTCTGTAGGATTCTCAGCTACACTGCTTTCCGGGGGGGACGGCAGCGTCTCCTGGGACCCAAACACCTGGCTCCCGGGGGGAGCTGTGCCCTGTGCTGGCAGCGGGAGAGGCACAGCCAGTGATTGGCATGTCCCACCCCCTGGCACGCCAGCCCTGGGGGGGAGAGAGGGAGGAAGGGAAAGAGAGGGAGGGAGAAAGAGAGAAGGAAGGGAGGAGGAGCTGGAGGGAAGCCTCAGGCTGCATCTGGGGCTGGACTAGGTCCTGGGGCGTGCCCCCTCCTCCGCCAGGGCACCCACCTTGTACCCCGCGAGGGAGGGGGCAGGACGTGAGGAAGGCGAGCCCAAGAAGGCTAACAGTCCAGGACGGGAGAGAAGGCGGATACAGGGAGACAGACACCCACACCCATGCACACAGACGCAGCGGCACACACCCTCATAAAGGCACACTGTGTTTCCCCGGGTTCCTGCTCCCAGCCCCTGCGCAACATGCCCCAACACACATGGCACGGGATTCACACGCCCGCGCCCCCCCCCCCCCCCGCACATGCCCACGCGCCCACCCACCCAGCCACACGCCCTGCTCGTCCCCCCTGCTGGCAGGGAGCTGGATTCCTTCTGTTTGGAAATGACACATTGGGCCTCACGTGAGAAGCTCCAACTTGGAACAGACCCAGAGGGCTGGCGCACCGCGGACGTGCCCGCGTGCGGGGCTGTGTGCTCTGGCGGCTGACTTTACTGCCAGTCCCGGCGTGAGGGTGTACGGGTGTCTGGTTCGTGGGGATGGGTCAGGGGCCGTGTGTGTGAGTGTGTGTGCTCCGTGGCACCATGCCGCTTGTGTAAATGCAGGTGCGTTTCTGCCGGTCTGGAGGCAGGACGCATGTGCATCGGAGCGCCTCAGTGTTGCCCAACATTCAGAACTTGCTAATTCTGACAAGTGAGGCAGCCCCTACCTCCCTGCCTGCTCCACCCCCAGCTTCCACTTGGAAGACAGACAGACAGGCAGACAGACAGCTCTCCTCCCAGCTTGTCAAACTCTCGTCTCCTCTGACTCCCACTCAGGGCTCACAGGTGCATACCTGGGAAGTGCGAATCCCTCCCTCTCCACCTCGCTCAGCCCTGCAGCCTGGCCAGCGCCTCTTTCCACCCCCAACCGCCCCACCCCCGCCACCCCCGCCACACCCGTGCCTCGCGGGCTGTTTGGATTTCTGTGTTGAGTTTCTTCCGAGATGGAACCCCTAGGGGGCCCTTTGCCATAGAGACCTGGGTCGGGTACCGCCCTCTTATGGAGACCTCCCGGGGAGCTGACCGCGGACAGTTGCGGGGGGGGGGGGTTATAGGTACTGCCTGCTGCGGCAGCTTCCGTTTTTGCCCCATGGGCTGTGCTGAAGCCCCCAAGTAGGAGGTGGGAAAGGACTAGAACCATCAACTATACCCGTTCTGCAGATGAGAAAGGAGAAAACTGGGCAGAAGCGTAATTAGTATGCAGCGCGCAGGTGCTTGGATTCTAAGCCCAAGGCTCTGGAGTCTAGGGCACAGTGCAGGGGGCGGGGCGCGCCCCTGTCCCCTCCCCTTCAGTGCGGATGCCTGAGGGGTGACCTGGAGCTCCCTCACTCAGGAGCCCAGCTGCCACTGGAGTCAGGTAGAGCGGAAACGAGAGCCCCTGGGGCTTGGCCAGGAGCCATCCGGTGCCAAGGATGGGCACACGTGGCAAGAACATGTGGGGGCGTTTCTGCTTCTCAGAGCCAGCTGGGGCACCGGCAGGGACCCAGTCCGCTCGCCTTCTTAAGTCCGGCAGGCGCGGCCGCTTGGAGAGGGCCTTGAGGGGCCCTTCCAGTCTCTACCCCAGGGTCACTCGGCTGGTCCCATCCCGCGGGCGCGGACACGGGCTGCCCCCTGCCGGGCGGCCGTGGGTTTGCGGCTGCCGCTGGCGCGCGCGGTGCGGCGGTGTGTACTTGTGCGCGTACACGTGGCATAGGCCGGGGGTGTCAGGCCTCCACGCTCAACATCCATTTCCGAGTCTGAATCAGGCTCCCTCCCGCCCCCTCCCCCCCAGTCTCCTTGGTCTCCCTTTTCTCTTCTCCCACCGCCTCTGCACACGTCCCTTTAGAAATAAAAACACTTATTTTGTGGGCGGGCGGGGAGGGGTGTCCAGCTTCTCCCCTGCAGCCTCCCGAGCGCCCCTCCATACCGCGCGGCTGCTTCTTAAATCTGCAGCTGGAGGGGCAGGGGGATGACGCCCCCCGACTTTGCTCTCCTTGCTTCTCCTCCTACCTTTGGCTAGGTTCCCCTTACCAGCTGGGGAAACTGAGGCAGCAGGGGAGAAGGGAGGCAAAGCTGGGAGAAGCGCTCCCGCCCGGCTCGCTAGCCACCCCCGCACCCGCGCCCGATTTAGCCGCGGGGAGGCTGGGAACATTGTCTTTATTTTAAGCCGCCGAGTGCGGCACGAACGCGGCTGCTCTCGACAAAGGGCTTCGCGGAGCGGCTGCAGGCGGCGCACGTGGGGGGGGGCTCCGCCCCGACCCCCTGCAGCTCCCTCCTCTCTGGCCGGGTCGGGCAGGGGCTGGCTCCGGACTCCGGGGCCGCTGCTCCTGCGCGTTGCTATTTTCGCTGGGCTCGGCCACCACCACCGGAACTCGAGACTGTGCTTGCGGGGTTCGGCCCGGGTCTCAGCCCCCTCATGTGGAGGAGGAGAGAGGCTGCCCTGGTGCGAATCCAGCTCCGCCTTTTCCCAGCTGAGCCGCCCAGCACGAGTCAGAACCCCACTAGGTCTCAGGTGTGCTTCAAGGGCTCGGGGCGTAGAGACAGCTCCCTAGCTCGACAGGGCTGTTTGCGAGGTGGGAGTGCGCAGGCAACCGTGTCACCTGCGGGGCCTGCTAACTGTGAGCCCCATCGTCGTTATTTATAACAACTATCGCTCACTCACTACTGCCAGGAGCCGCTAAGCGCTCCACGTTCATTAATTCCCTTGCTTCTCACAGCTCTGTGAAGGAAGCTCTGTTATTTATTCCCATTTTACAGGTGAGTAGATTTGCAAAGAGGCACCCATCCCTGGGGCTTGGTGGAGGGTGCCAGCAGCGTCCCTGCAGCCATCCTGGAGCTGGGGACACCGTACGGTATGGCAGGGGCCTGTGGGACATTAAAATTGTTTTATTTATTTAAAAAAAAAAACTTATTTATCAGAAAGAGAGAGAAACAGATTTGTATCCACTGGTTCATTCCCAAATGTCCACAATGGGGACCAGACCAAGCTGAAGCCAGGAGCCCAGAATTCCAGTGGGGTCCCCCAACTTGGGTGGCAGACACCCCAGTGGTTGGACCATCACTTGTTGTCTCTCTGGGTGCAGATTAACAGGAGGCAGAGCTGAGCACTCCAATTCGGGATGCAGGCCGAAGTGGTGTCTTAACCGCTGCCTGAGACACAGGCCCTGGGACAGCGTCTTTAAAAAGCCTGCAGGGGTCTGGACAGAAGCTGGGAAGTGAAGGGGGTCTGCAGCGAGCAGGCTTTGTGTGCAATTTAAACCTTCACTCTCTGGTTCCCAGCATGTCAGGGACTGAAAACCAGTGATCACAGGTTCCACCGGGAGATGTGTCCTGGCCCTCCCAGGTCTACGAGGCTGAGCTGATTGGGCCTCAGAGTCCTCCCAGAGGGAAGGGAATCCCCGACCTGGAGGCAACTTCCCTGTGCAGTGTGGGAGGCCCCCTCCCCAACCTCCTTTGCCTGAGGCCTCCAGCCTCATTCTCCTTCCCCGGGACTCCAAGAGAGTCTGAGTCTCAGATTTCAAAGTAGAAACTACTGCAGGTGCAGGCATTGGATCCTTGTTTCCAACGGTTCTGGAGTATCGACTCCACTCCTGACTCCAGCTCTCTGCTAATGCACACCCTGGGAGGCAGCAGCAAAGACTCAGGTAACCGGGTCCCTGCCACCCATGTGGGAGACCTGGGTTGAGTTCTGCACCCCCAACAGTGCCACTGTTAGCATGTGTCTCCTCTCTTGGAGGAGGAACTAAAATCCCAGGTGGGGGCTGCTGTCCTCCCCTGTGGAGGGCCCTGGGTTGGAGGGGGACAGTAGCAAAGGCACACTTTTTTTTTTTTTTTGAAATATTTTCATTTATTTATTTGAGAGGTAGAGCTACAGACAGAGAGAGGGAGAGACAGAGAGGTCTTCTGTCTGCTGGTTCTCCCCCAAAATGGCTGTAACGGCAGCAGCTGAGCCGATTTGAAGCCAGGAACCAGGAGCTTCTTCCGGGTCTCCCATGCAGGTGCAGGGGCCCAAGCATTTGGGCCATCTTCCGTTGCTTTGTCAGGCCATAAGCAGAGAGCTGGATCAGAAGTGGAGCATCCAGGACTCAAATTGGTGGCCATATGGGATGTTAGCACAGCAGGTGGAGGCTTCGACCACTATGCCACAGCACCGGCTCCTCCACTAACTTTTTGAAGAGCCCCTCATATACATGGATTTCTTTTTTCTTTTTCTTTTTTTTCAGACCAAAACTGAAAGGCACACTCTTGAGAAGGAAGTCGAAGTCTGGTTCCGAAGCCAAAGGCACAGTTCCCTTCCAAGTACCCAAGACTTCATTTCCCCGCGCCGGACTCTGAGTTGGGCACCCCGGGGCAGGTGAAGGCCAGATAGCAGGTCCGATCTTCCCCGCAAAGCATCGCGGTCAGATCTCCAAGGATGGGTTTGGGGCGGCCCTGTGCGGTCTGGGAGCTGGGCGCACGGCTACCTGGTCGTGACAGCTGGGCCAGTCCTGGGTCGGGCCAGGGGTAATGAGATCTGGGAGCCCTCAAACTCCTCTATGAGGACAGGACCTCGCTGCCTTGCATTTGGCCGCACGCCCCGGGTGGCCCTGGAGGGAGGCACTTCCCCCACCGCGCGCTACGGGGGCCGAGTCTGCCGCTCAAATACCTACGGCCTAGGGCAGCTTGAAAAATCCGATCAGTGGCGTTGACCCTGATCAGTGGCTTCTTTTGGTCAGTGGACACTGGATGCCCAAGTTTTGCGTGGCTGGGAAGACGCGCGCCGGCCCAAATGAAACTGCGGGAGAGGAGTCCCGCGGAGTTTGGGGGCGGGGATTTAGGGTCAAAACCGTATCTG